TTTTTTTTTTTTTTTTTTGGAACATGTTATGATTGATAGCTAAAACCATGAAGAATTTGTGAAAAAGTTAATGATAGATGTACTAAAAGTAACTAGTGGTTTCTTATGTTTTTTTAAGCTATGACGAATTCTTTGTTTTGAATGTTTTTAGAGGATGAAAATGTGTTTCTACCTCTGATATTACTTGTATAAGTTCATCACAGATGACACCTTCTTGTGTGTGTGTGTGTGTTTGTGTGTGTGTGTGTGTAGGTGTAATGTGTTTCTAAGCTTTTAAGTTGATGTTGAAGGAAGACGAGGGAATCGTGAATTACTTAGACCATAAATTCGTTTGCTCATATTGTCACATTACTAATATGATGATGTATCTTTCTTGTTTTATATTTTATTCATACATACATGAATACATATGTGCTTGTTCATATATAGTTGTTTTTTCTTGTATTTATGTTCAAAACACTGAATAGGAAGGAGTTTCTAAGACACTAGTAAAGGTATCATTCCTCGTTCTTTGTACCCGAGCAAAATCAGCCTGCTCATGAGAAACTAGATATCAGGTTGAGTTAACCAAGCTAGCATTTAAGTAATGATTTGTTATACTTGAAGAAGAATATTATGTGCTTGGAAATGAGAGATATGAATATCAGAAAAGAATTGTCAGTAAATTTTGCTTATATGAAGGTCATGGGCATGTCATCCATGTGACCTCGACGTCTTGAACTTTTCATGTTTGCACATAGAGGCAATAGTTTTGCTCTGACGTTTTCCGCGTGTTTGTTGTGAACGCTACAACATGTCAGTTTTCTTGAATGGCAATAATGGCATTTAAGATATTAACTATAAATCGTGCTACTCGAGTCTTATTATTTCAACTAAGAATGCTAAAGTATCATTTCCATGTACATGCTGCAAAATCCTTACAGAAATTTCTGGTGAAGCTGAGCGGAATTTGTCAAATGACTCTCATGTTTGTTATTTGACTTCTTCTCCATTCTCCATCCGACTTACGAAAGAACTGGAGAACTTTGAATGTGAATTTTCTCAATACTCATAGAAATCTGGCCTAATCAGCTTTTATTGTACCAATTTACTGCAAAATAATAATAATAATAGTAATAATAATAATAACAACAACAACAACAACAACAATCACAATGATGATGATGATGATGATGATGAATGTCTCTCTAATACTTTAATTATCAAATTATGGTTTCAAAGAAATCAGTGGTTTTCTCCGTTATAATTTTTTATGTTCTATTTTTCAGGATTGGTGTTTTTATTATAAGTTACCAAGATGTTTAGAGGTAACAACAGCACTACTGCAGTCCCATCTTTTCTTGACAATCAGTTTCAGTACAATGCAGATATGTCAAACCAGCTCAAGCTTTGTGGAAATGGTGAGTGCTATTTGGTCTCACATATATCCACTATAAACTATCATACCGTGTTTTTCAATATCATTGTTAGCATATTTTAACATGAAAACTATGCTCCTTTAGTGGGCTGGCTCTAAACACACCGTCATTTTGGGTTTTCTTAGGATTTGCTTGATTTATGACTTCTTTTGCAGTTGAGTTTAATAGTTTGGAGGGATAATTCATGGTGTTGGGGTTGTATGATCTCAAAACTTAAAAGTTATACCTCTTGGAGCATGGATATCTACCAAATGGCTATTGGTTTTAGAGTTTATTGCCTTTGATAACGTAATGAGTATATATTTGATATGTTATTCTCCATTTGTTGTTGCAGTACCTGTAGAATTTCATGGTGACACTGTAAATTATCTTGGCAAACATGACGACCCTCAATTCTTACTGCAAAATAGATGCGGTGGGGATGCTGAACCATTTCCGAGCCAGCAAAATTTTCAGTTTTCTTTAAATGATACAATTTTTCGAGATGAGACTGATAGAAAAGCCAGTGTTTTGAACGTGAATCCCGTGTCCACCGGTTTAAGGTTGTGTTATGATGATGATGAGCGAAACTCGTCTATAACATGCGCAAGTGGAAGCCTAATAGGTGCATCTTCACTCTTTTCTGCACTGAGCAATGACACGAAGAGAGAAATCGATGAGCAAAATAAAGAGCTCGATCACTTGATTAGAATTCAGGTACTAGTTTACATATTCATATTTGACATTGGATCGAAGTGGACATTTACAGCGTTTAAATGGGTTATTTGTAATATGAAAAGACAATGAGTTATATATTCTCAGGGAGAGAAGATGAGAAAAGGGGTGCGGGACATACGCGAGAAACACATGGCCTCATTCCTGGTAGCTGTGGATAATGGTGTGGCCAAGAAGATGCAAGAGAAGGAGGTGGAGCTCGAGCGCGTGGCCAGCAAGAACAAGGAGCTTATGGAGAGAGTGAAGCAGGCAACATGGGAGGCCCAGAAGTGGTGCTATATGGCCAAGTACAATGAGTCTGTGATAAATGTCCTCCGAGCCAACCTCCACAAGGAAGGCATCGGGGAAAGCGATGCAGATTCACACCTTGACAGGGATTTGGTGAGAGTGAGGTGCAGGTCATGCGGGAAGAATGAGGCGTCGGTCCTGCTGATGCCGTGCAGGCACCTGTGTTTGTGTAGGGAGTGTGAGGCGGGAGTGTGCCCCGTGTGTCGGGCAGTCACCACCACTAGCTTCGAGGTCTACCTGTCGTGATATTATTATTATTATTATTATTATTATTATTATTATTATTATTAATGTGAAAAAAAAATAAATATAGTAAATTATGTTTCTGGTGGTATAATGAAAAAAATAAGAATAAATCTTGGTCTTGGACAATTTGTCTAAATAAATAAATAAATAAAAGTTAGAATTATACCTTCATTGAGGTTATTTCCGACATTTTCACTTGCATGCCAGTGGATTCCACCAGTGACCAGACCCACCAAGAAGTGGGTCCCACAACCCGCCACCCATCTAACTCACCCAACACACACATCCATATAGGGTTGTAAACAAATCAAACATTTTTTATTTGATTCGTGATTCGAATTCGAAATATTCGAATTCGAATTTGAATACGAATGATGTTTTAGATTCGAAATTATAACGAATTCGAATGTGTAGATATTCGATTGAAATTCGAATATTCGATTCGTTAACAATAATTATATAAATTTTACAAATTATACATAATATACATTTTGTTTATAATATATGTATATATATATATATTGTTATATTCCTAATATTTTTATGACATAAAAAGTAAAAACATCATATATTAACAAATTTTTCTAAAAATATATGAAAAATAAAATTTATTTTTGTAATTATAATATTTTTATACAAATTATATATAATATATATTTTGTTTATAATATATGTATATAT